TATTTATAAACCTGCAATAAAATCATGCATGTCCAAGAAAAGAACGAATTTCCCTCACAGTTGTGGGGTATGAGAGTGAGCGGATAATATCAATTTTTGATTTATCAACCGAAATTTTATTAGCAGAAAAAAATGTGACCAAGAATTAAACCTTTTTCAACCATAAAATGAAATTTTTCATAATTAAGCACAAGGTTTTCAAGGCATCATTTTAACACATTAGTTAAATTCAAGAGACACTCGTTAAAGGAATTACCGTATACCGTAAAGTCGTCCATAAAAACTTCAATTCCTTTTTCTACATAATCAGAAAAGACACTAAGTATGCATCTCTAGAATGTACCTAGCACGTTACATAGGCCAAACGACATTTGTCGATAAGCGAATGTACCAAAAGGACATGTAAACGTTATTTTCTCTTGATATTTCGATGCGACTGGAATCTAAAAAATCCTAAAAAATAATCTAGACAACAATAGTGAGATTTATCAGCTAATCGTTCAATCATTTGATTAATAAAAGGAAGCGAAAAATTATCTTTTTGAGTAAGTGAATCCAACTTCCTATAATCGATTCAAAGCCTCAATCCATTTTGAATTCGTGGAGGTACTAGTTCACCTTCAGAATTTTCAATTACCGTTACTCGGGTTTTCTTAGGAACTACATAGATTATACTTACCCAATTACTATAAGGTATTGAATAGATGATATAAACGTCTAAAAGTTTTTGAATTTCTTTCTTAACGACCTCCATTATTGGAGGATTTAAACGCCTTTTCCTTCTTGGGATGGTTTTGCACATTCTTTAATTTTAATCTTATGCATACATGTCGATGGACTGAGTCCTTTAATGTTAGCTATAGTCCAGCTGATTGCCTCATGTGCACGTAAAACTGTCATCAAGTCTTCTTCTTCCTCCTTTGAAAGCTTATTTGAGATAATTACCGGGAGGGTGGTGTTTTGTCCTAGGAATTCATATTTGAGATGATCCGATAATTGTTTAAGTTCAATATGTGGTGCCTGTAAAATTGAAGGTAAAATTTAGATTTACTTGGGGTTAGGCGTAAATCAAATTGTATTGAAAATATATTTTCTAGCTCCATAACTTCTTCATCGTAGTTTTGAAATTCTCTGTACAAATCATCAAATAAGCCGGTCTCAATAAAATCATTCACCAAAGGTTCAATAACATCAACAAAATTAATGTTTGCAACATTATCTGAATGTTTCATCGATTTGTAAACATTAAATTTTACTACCTTACCATCGAATTCCATAGTAAGAATTCCACTCTTAATGTCGATTTTTGTTTGTGCAGTGCTTAAGAATGGGCCGCAAAGAAGGATCTCGGAAGAAGAATTAGTTCAATTATTTTCTATGTCGATGACATATAAATCGGCTGAAAAAATTAATTCATTTATCTTAACAAAAACATTTTCAAGAAGTCCTTCAGGATAAATGAAGGATCTATCAGCTAGCTGAATTGTTACTATAGTTTCCTTCAAATGCTCAACAGAAAGTGAGTTGTAAACAAATAAAGGTATAACATTAATTGAAGCACCAAGGTCACACATATCACGTTTAATTCCTACATTGCTGATTTTACAAGGGATAACGAACATACCTTGGTCTTTTAATTTCGTTGGAAGTTTAAGTTGAAAAAAAGCTGAGACATTTTCACCTAAATTTACCTTTTCAGTGATGGTAAGGCTCCTTTTATTTGTGTAAAGATCTTTAAGAAATCTGGCGTATCTCGACACTTTTTTAAATTGTTTTAAGAAGCGGTATATTAATCTCTACTTTTCGAAAATCATCAAGAATTTCCTTTTCCTCAGCTTGTTTGTCACATGTTACTAACCTGGAGGGAAAATGAGGTGGCTTCGAGTAAGGAGAGATTACAAAAGTCGTTGGTTTTGAATATTTCTTTCTATGTGTGTTAGCTTCCTCTTCTTGAGATTTTTCTTTCTTTTTTTCTTCCTCTTCTGCATCAACTCCTTTCTGGTCCTTCTGGGATCTCATTTTTTCTTTTTATTTGGAATTTGCGAAAGATTATTTAGGGATTGGCACGATCACAATTCCACTTCGAAGGGTGATGGCACTAGCGTTCTCTCGTAGGTTTGCCTCAATTTAAGATAATAGCTTTCCCTGTGATTTCATTCCTCCCATGTCTGATCCAATTGACTTATTTGTTTATATATTTCATGTAGATGTGATTCAGTTCGATTTGAATTTTTTATTGAGAAAGTGCCAAACTCTCTATAATGGATTTCAGTGAAGACTTTGGTGGCTGGTACTGCTGTTGTTGAGGTGCTCTTGGTTGATATGGTTGTTGAAGAGGCTTTTGGTTCTACCCATAGCTAAAGTTCCACCCCGAATTATAGGTATTTGCGTTAGGGTTGTATTGTGTTTGGGGAGGTCCAAGAAAATTTCCAACTGCTTTGACTTGTGCTATAGAGTATTCTTGTAACATCATACAACAATTTGTGGGATGGTCCGACATTGTACATATTCCACAAATTCTAGTCGTACTCATTTTTCCTACAACAAGAGTTTGAACAATATCAACCAATTTATCAATTTTATTTTCCAAAAAAATTGTACTTATCTCGTGAACCAATTGAGTAGGTTCACTCGTAGAGTCAAATTGTTGAGAGTTAATAGCCATAGTTAAAATCAAATTTTTGGTCGCTTGTGGAGTCATATTAACGAGTGCTCCTCCACTAGCTGTGTCAATCATCTTCCTCTCCAAAGGAAGTAATCATTTGTAAAAGTATTGAAGAAATATTTGTTCCGACAATCTTTGTTGTGGGCAGCTTGCACAAAGTTTCTTGAATCGTTCCCAGTAGTCGTATAACGAATCTCCATTTATTTGTTGCACTCCTAAGATTTTTATTCTTAATTCATTCACTTTTGATGCAGGGAAAACATGTCAATAAAAGGACGAGTCATATCAACCCATGTATTAACAAAATTAGGAAGTAAATAAAATAACCAATCTTTGATCATCAGATACTCCATGTGGTTTTATGCTAGAGAAAACTAGATGAAACTCAGTAAGATGCTTGTGAGGACTTTCGTTGAGCAGTCCACGGTAAGTAGATAAAAGATTAATTAAACTCATTTTTAGCTCAAACGGTGTTTCTCCATGAGGGAATGCGATGCATAACAGTTGTTGTTCGGTAGGTTTTGCAGCTAATTCTCAGATTGTTTATTAATCCATTGAAGTGGTTTCTCGAAGTCTTCTTCAACGTCAGAGAAGGTTTCAGTGTCAAAGGGTGTATTTGGATTAGGTTCTGGATTGGATTCGGATTGTTGTGATTATTGTTGTTGTTTTCGCCTTTCTTGTAGCGTACTGTGAACATATTCTTCGGGCTAGTGCTTCGATCTTAGGTACCCAATCAACTAGTTTGCCTGGATTTTTCCTAGTCATAAATCAAAACAAATTTTAATCAGTAATTTTAGCGTGATCCCCGGTAACGATGCCAATTTGAAAAGCATCGTAATTTTGAAATAAATAATTATTTTTTATTAGATAATTATGCTAAGAAATTACTATAGAGAATAAGGGTGCCGGTCTACAGAGATTCGAAAATTTCTAATTCTAATTTGATTTAATCTTGAATCAAGACACCTGTAAAACAAGTAAATTTAAAAGAAATGGGGGATTTTAAAGTAAGCAAGTAAAATAAAATTACAGTAAAACTAAGATGCAAACAATAAGGAAAATTGAGAAAAGTAAATTGTAAAGGAATAATAAAGATGAGAAATAGCCTCATGCTTCGCTTCTCCTCAATCCGTCTCGATTACTAAAATAGATTTTACTTTGGATACGTGCGGGTTACAGTCTACAAGGCCCAAACCTTGTAACATGCTCTTCTTTCTTGTGAACTGATTTCCAAAGTCAATCCTTGAAAATTAACCCTTGTTTGGATTAATATCGACTATCGATATTAATGCCAATGCTGGTTTTGAACTGGAAAAACCCATGCTCGAATTATAATATCTCAATTAGAATCCAACCTGATCTTGATTTCCCTTAGCAGACTATCGCTAAAATTGTTCTTAAAGAATTGAATTTGCTACAAGCCGATTCTCCTCCCTAACTGTAGATCACAACGTCGAACAAACCAATGTGCTCTATACACTTCTTGGATTGAAGAAAGGTTGATCGCCTCTCATTGTTTGCAGAAAAATCAAGAAAGAAACCTGAAGATGTTACATACCTTTTCGATTCTCACGAGACTAAATTAAGTTGTCGCTCAACTATAAGCTAACGAAAAGTTTAGCCAACCATTGTAGAAATCATGCTTAGCGTGTAAAAAGAGAGTAGATGGAGAAGAAAAATAATTTTATTGAAATAAACTAAAACAAAGAAAAGCTAGAACCAATTCTATAATGAATTCTAAACTTGTACGTCCCTTAAGCTTCACCCTAGGGATATTTATAGTCTTGAGTTAGCATGATGAAAATAAAATAATAACTCTTAAAATATTCAAACTCTTAATTCTAACAAATTAAAAATCCTAAATAAAAATTCTATGCAAACTAAATTCCTAATAAAATAATAAAATCTCAAATGTTTGAATTCAATTACAACTTTTAAATTTCTAAAGAATTATGGTTCGCCTTGGTTTTTCTCATTTGATCTTGCTACTTGAAATATTTAATCATAATTTGTGCTTGGATCTATCTTTGAATTTGAGTTGGCGTCGACTTTTCTCAAATAAATAGAAAAATTTATTTAATTTACATTTTAATTGTTATTTCATGAAAAATAATCCTGCACAAATTTAAATCAAAACAACTCAAATTAACATTATAAAAAGAGATCACAATTTAATTAATAATAAAATATTAATCAAATAATACACTCATCACCTCGTGATTTCTTTCACTCCGGTTTCTCATTTAATCCTTTTTCCCTAACAATTCCAAACAAGAGCACAAAACCCACCCCACAAAATTTGAAACTTTGACATTATTTACTCATCACCACCCTTTTGAATTTGACCCCATAATCTTTCTCTCCTTGTTCTTTCATTTTCGAAACTCTGCTCTTCTTGTAATTATGAAGTGCTTTCATTTCACTAACTGGGAGAGGCGGGACGGGGGAGACGATGGAGGCGGCGGCGCCGCTGCCGTTTTGAGGGTGGCGCCGAAGGTGACGTGGACGAGGTCATTTAGTGTGGCGTCGAGCAGCGCCGGTATGAGTCGTTCTGAGTTCGACTCCCAGTCGATCAGGGACTTGGCCTCGGATGACTCGACCGTCGGTTGTTTCTACGAGTTACTGACTCAGCGTCGAGCAAACGATCTGCGGTCTTTCACATTCACCGAGCTGAAATCAGCTACCCGTGGGTTCAGTAGAGCTCTTTTGATTGGTGAAGGCGGGTTCGGATGCGTTTACAGAGGTGTCCTTAAAGTTCCTGATGAAGCTAACGACGGTCGTGATTTAAAGTTGGATGTCGCCATCAAACAACTCAATCGTCACGGTTTCCAGGCATAGCCCACTCTCATCCCTCGTCGCTTTCCCATTTTACACATCCATTTGAAATATATAACTTTTTGATGTGTTCAATTTAATTGCAAAATAACTGTATAATCCATAATTATGAGAAGCTTAATCTTGCTTATGATCTGCATAACAATGTAGTTGTACACATTAAGAATGTTGACATTGGTTATTATTAAAGTATGAATCATAGTTGAATATCTTTTGCGTTGCTTTGTTAGTATTCAGGGGCATAAGGAATGGATCAATGAAGTGAGCCTTTTGGGTGTAGTTAAGCACCCGAATCTTGTAAAATTAGTTGGATATTGTGCTGATGATGATGAGAGAGGGATCCAGAGGCTTTTGGTCTATGAACTTATGCGTAACAAAAGCTTGGAAGATCATCTCTTGGCTCGGATGCCATTGTCATTGCCGTTGCCCTGGTTGACAAGATTGAAAATCGCTCAAGACGCAGCCCGGGGTTTGGCTTACCTACATGAAGAAATGGACTTTCAGGTATACCTTTTAAATGATGTCTTAAAAACGCAAAATATTAACTTCAATCCTTACTGTCAACAATGCGGTTTGTGTTCCGCTTCATGATCTAGGTTTGCTTTTTATGATTTGTGCACTGCAGCTAATATTTCGAGATTTCAAGACGTCAAATGTTCTACTAGATGAGGACTTCAACGCGAAGCTCTCAGACTTTGGATTAGCTAGACAAGGACCTTCGGAAGGATTTGGCCATGTTTCTACAGCAGTAGGTTAATCACTTTTGTTTAAGCTATAGTACTATTTTTAGATGTCATGATATCTGATTTAATAGTTTATGCCTTAGAAATTTAGTTCTTGCAGAACTATAGTTGTAAACTATCATGTTGAGATGCCATTTTATGTTGGATTCATGGATACTAATAGCTGCTTTTACTGTTTCAAAAACCTTTATAAGGTTGTCGGAACAGTAGGTTATACTGCCCCTGAGTATGTGCAAACCAGTAGGCTAACTGCTAAGAGTGATGTTTGGAGCTTCGGGGTGGTTCTGTACGAGGTCATCACCGGAAGACGAGCACTAGAAAGAAATCTACCTCGAAGTGAGCAGAAGCTCCTCGAATGGGTGAGACCTTATGTATCTGATTCGAAGAAATTTCACCTTATCATAGATCCTCGCCTTGAAGGACAGTATTGCATCAAATCCGCCCAGAAAGTAGCATCCTTGGCGAACAAATGTTTATTGAAAAACCCAAAGTGTCGTCCTAGAATGGCTGAAGTGGTTGAGATACTAAGCAACATCATTAGTGAGACTTCATGTAAAGACGGAGGTGTGACTGGGTCAGTCCGTGAAAATGAATATGTAAAGGAAGGAAGTGGAGTAGAGATGGAGGGCGAGTCTAGCAAGCAAGGGAACAGATACTTGAAGATGGTTTTAGATATCAGAGAGATAATCAGTTTAAGAAACAAATCAATTGTGAAGTTAGATTGGAGAAATTGGACACCCGGACTGGTGAGGACTTGGTGATGACCGATGACGAGATCACAACCGGGAAACAGAAATAGATAAGCCTCTCAGTGAGTGCATTATCAAATACATAGTAGCATGAAATACTGTTTTAATTCGTTTCTAACTCCATCACTGTTTAATGAATGAATTAGTCGAGTCACATCACAGTATATAGCTAAATTTGAAATGGTCTAATGAAGATTTTTCAATAATAATAAGTACAAGTAGCAGTCTGTGATATCACATGTTTTGAAAAACGAAATCTTCGTGGGACCGGTGGCTGATCAGCTGCACGAATTTTCACCTCTTATGTTGCCGGAGTCCAACAAATTACCTAAACGTCTCAACTTTCAAGCCAATTGAAAGCAAAACTTTCTATTAAATTATACTTTTCCATCAAACAATTCCATTCCATGTTTTGACTGGTATTTCAGCAGCAGCTGTCAGGGCTTTGATTTTGATTTACGCAAGTAACCCATGGTTCATAACTTAGTGCAATAATATCTTCCTTATGTGTCCAAAACTCAGGATTATATTAAAATTTAGGGTGTGTTTGGTTGGGGGAATGTGAGATTTTCATGGGAGTGAGATTTTCATGGGAGTGAAATTCACATTCTCCCGTTTGGTTGGTCGGGAATGTCATTCCCAGTAATTTTACATTACCAATAGTGAATTTTTTAGGGTATATTATCGGGAATGTCATTACATCTCTTTCCTTATGTATTATTAGATTACCGGCGTTTCATACTAAAATGCCCTTAATTTTTTTTTCTTTCAAAAATATCATTATTCTGTCTTTGAATAATAAAATTCTATGAAGGTTAAATTACAAATTTATCTTTAAACTATTTTATATTTACAAAACAAAGTCTATAATTAAAATTTTATATGAAGTTCAGGAGTTAAAATAAAATTTTACCCTTTCATTAAACCTTTTTATATTTTCAATTTTGTAAAAAAAAATTATATAAATTTTATGAATTTAAATTTTTTAAAGAAAATATATAAATATTTTTCAACTTGTTAAAAAAACAAATATATAATAAGGACAATTTGGTCAAATATATATTCCAATAATCTTTTATTCCTTTAATCAAACACAGTAATCTTATATTACTGCTAAACCAATCAAACACAAAATACAACATTCACAGTAATCCTATTCCCTGATAATCTTTTATTCCCACTGGTAATCTTACATTCCGTGAACCAAACACACCCTTAGGGGGTGTTTGGTTCAAGGATTGTGGGATTCTCATGGGATGAGAATCCCACATTCCCATGTTTGGTTGGGAATCTCATTCCCGTAATATTTTATTACCAATAGTAGATTTTTTGGGGTATATTACCGGGAATGTCATTACCTACATTCCCTTAGGTATTGTAACATTACCGGTATTTTGGACTAAAATACCCTTAAATTTTTATTTTTTTTCAAAAATATTCTTCTTCTGTCATTGAATAATAAAAAATCTACAAAGGTTAAATTACAAATTTATCCTTAAATTATTTTAGATTTACAAAAAAAAGTCTATAATTAAAATTTTATATGAAGTTCAGGGGTTAAAAATTTTTACCCTTTCATTAAACCTTTTTTATATTTTTAATTTTGTAAAAAAATTATATAAATATTATGAATTTAATTTTTTGAAGAAACTATATAAATATTTTACAATTTGTAATTTTATACAAATATATAATAAGGACAATTTGGTCAAATATACATTCCAAATTTTTTTTATTCCTTTAACCAAACACGGTAATCTTACATTCATGCTAAACCAACCAAACACAAAATACAACATTCCCAGTAATCCTATTCCCTGGTAATCTTTTATTCCCACTGGTAATCTTACATTCCGTGAACCAAACGCACCCTTAGGGTAAACTATACCATTGACCACTTAACTATTTAGTCTTTTTACTTTTACCATTGATCTTTCAATTTTATCAATCAGATCACCTAAATATTTAGTTGTATTCGATCAAACCACTACCCGTTAACATTACCGGACATAGTGAGATGGAAGTTAAAACATTTGGTATAATTACACAACTAATCACGGTTAATTAAATATTATATTAATTTGGTCCTAATTTTAGTAAATTAAGATAAATTTAATCATCGAATCAGATGAAGCCATGTGTCATGTAACACCCCAAAAAAACCAAATTAAAACCCTAAAATTCAGGAAAATTTAACCTAATTCCTAGATTGAAAAGAGTGACCAAATTGTAAAGTTATAAAGCTTAAAGTCGTATTTCCAAAACCTAAAAATTTTGATGGCTTATCTTGCAATTATACCAGATTTATTTTGATATCAATTCCCTCCCCAGTGTGCATCGTCTATCTTCTTTATCTCCCAAACCCTAGTGATGTTCACCCTTATATCTGCAACCCTCACCACCGTTCTCACCGTCCAACCAAATAGGACATTCTGAACCGGGAACCGAGTTACCACCTTCTCCTTCGTTACCCACGAACTTCGAACTGAACTGTATTGCTCATGTCGAACAAGAGTGTTAACTTACAAATCTTAGTATGTTATTTACGTAGTTAATTTTAGAATAATTTATTTAATTAAATTACTTGTCATAGGCATTGTTTCAGATCGATCTATTGCTCAAACTGATTGTGGTAGAGGTTATTATCGACGTTAGCTTTTGTTGAAGCGTGTCTCTTTACTCGGTGTTATATTACTTATGTGTTTTCTATTTGCTTGGTTAGCTGGAATTATGGTTGAAAGCATGTATGTATGTGAGTTTGACTATGTAAATTAAATTTTGGAAATATTGATATGTGATGCATGTTTAACTGTCAGAACCGGGATATGATTATATATACATAACATGTGAATGAGTTGCTTTATCAGAATATATTTTCATGAAATATTACTATTCAAATTGGACTAGAAATTGGATTTTTATGGCATTCTGCATTTCATGTTGGAAAGACTATTGATATGGGAAGTTCAATGCATGCACTCGACGGGGTGAATGTCACTTTTTTAGATTCAGTGGCATCTGCCTTTGTGGCAGACCCTATTTATATGGTGTATGTGTGAAATTAGTGTGGTTCTGGGGAACCCACTCTTCGAGTGTGACAGGAGTACATACGGGTGCATAAGCATTTGGATATTATTTACATTGTGATTACCGTTGATGATTTGACATATAAATGTTACTATTTGTTTCATATTATGTTGTGACTTGTGTCTGGGGATGTCTCAGGAAAGGCGGGCTAATATACGGCGTTACCAGGTATATTAACAAATTTGGTTTAGCGCTACCGAAAATGTTGAGTAATAATAATGTATTAGGTCTAAATCATGAAGAAATATTAAAAAAATTGGCAACCGACAAACTTAGCTTGTCGGTTTATGTCAATACTTTATAAAAATGTATCGATCCACATCAATATAATAGGACAAATATGACAAAACCGGTAAAGCACTACCGGATATATTGCAAGTGTCGATACTTGAATATAAGTATCGACACATAGTGAATTTAAAGGAGAAGCAGTTTAAGCACTTATAAAGTATCGATTCTTTTTAAATATGTATCGATCCACAATGATATAACAGATAAAAATATGACAAAACTGATCAGGAGAAGACAAAACCGGTAAAGAGATACCAGATATATTGAAAGTGTCGATACTTTAATATAAGTATCGGCACATTGTGAATTTAAAGGAGAAGCAGTTTTAGCGCCTATAAAGTGTCGATTCTTTATAAATATGTATCGATCCACAAAGATATAACATGTTAAAATATGATAAAACCGGTCTCGAAAAGACAAAACCGGTAAAGCGTTACCAGATATATTGAAAGTGTCGATAATTTAATATAAGTATCGACACTTTGTGAATTTAAAAGAGAAGCAGTTTTAGCGTCTATAAAGTGTCGATACTTTATAAAAATGTATCGATCCATAATGATATAAAAGGTAAAAATATGATAAAACCGGTCTCTAAGTGACAAAACCGTTAAAGCGCTACCGGATATATTTAAAGTGTCGATACTTTAATAAGTACGCGTAATAAAGTATCGATACTTTCAAAGAAATAGGTAATTATACTATCAAAAGTATCGACACATGACATAAAAGTATCGACACTTTTGTAGTTGTATCGATTAAATATAAATTACATATCCGGTGAAAATGTAAATGGCATAGTTAAATATCCTCTGAAAAATAGATCGAACGGACGAGTTTTTGAAATCGAATCGTAATTGTTGCTGCATTTCAGAAGGCGTTTCTAAAGCGAATTTTGTTTGTTTGTTGTTGCAGTCGAATCGAAAAGTACGTTGTCGAAACCCTAGTTTTTTATTATTACAGTAATTGAAAATAGGGTTTTTATGTGTTGTTTGGGGTTTTCTAAGTAAAGAAGCATTTGGGACCGATTATAGGTAGAAAGTGATATTCTAGGTAAAATATAAATATCGATACTTTTATTAAATATTATAGGTAGAAAATGATATTATAGGTTGTATAAATGTGCCGATACTTGGAGTATTGAGTGTTCCCATTCGTTTGAAGGAAATAGAGATTATGGTTTTTGGGTTTGGTTTGGGGATTTCGAATTAAAGCCAAGAAGGATTTGGGACCGATTATATAGTATTATAGGTAGAAAATAAATATGGATAGCTGTATATAATATTATAGGTAGAAAATGATATTTTAGGTTGTATAAATGTGCTGACACATTTTTAGTAGCCATTCAAATTCTTTTGAAGAAAATCGTTTTACCACAAGAGTAGTTATCTATATTTGTATATTGAATAAAGTGTATGTAACAAGTATTTGATTTGATTTGATTTGCGTAAACTGATATATGAAGGAAAAATGGAGTCAATGGGTGGAAATATTGTTGGTGGCGCATATGACTTTGAAATTGAGGCCGAGACTCGAAAGCAACCAAAGGGTGGATATATGTACTTCTAGTAAGTATCAATGTCTTTTTGTTATTATTGTTGAAATGGTAATTGGATTAAAGTATTTAAGAATTTTAAATTGATGACAAATTTTAAATGTTGACAGTATGACCGAATGCAAAAGGATGAAGGAATGTGGCGAACATATCGGTTCGGTATGTAAATTGAAATTGACATTGAGTATTATTTAGCGTTAATGTATTGATTAAAAAACGTTTATGCTT